GAGCCGGGCTGGGAGGAGGGGGTGAAGGCGGGCCGCAGGCTGCCTTCCTGCTTGAGCTCCTCCTGGATCCGCCGCAGCATGTTGTTGATTAAGACGGTCTTCTGCAGTCTGGGCTCGGTGAGGGACCTGTGGTTGTAGAGCTTCATAATGGAAATGTTGAAGATAGTCTGGCGCTGTAAGGTGTAAGACACCTTGGACGGACCGTCGGAGGGAGACAGGATTTTGCCTTCCAGCCCATCTTCATGCTCATCAAACTTCCGTTTTCCTCCTTTACCCAACATATATCTGGCAAAGGAGAAAGGAAGGAGACGGAGTTAATCACAGGAGAACTTACTGCTGCCATTAGGAAGACGCTGAGTCAGAGGTCTGCACGTGGACTTCTGCGAGCCCCTGGCCCAGGCTTTGCTGGAACACACGGGTTAATTGGGGGAAGACCTGAGAGTCAGGGAACTGGAAGATCTACTTTTGTGTGCCCGTGGAGCAATGTTTTTCACTACACAGTCTGGTGAATGTATTTCTTGGGAAATGTGTAGGACCCAGACAAGTTAAACGTTACCATGGAAACCGTGATTTTTACTTTCTCAGCTCCGGCGCTTGCCTAACATTACCATGCAGGTTCAATTTCCCTCCCCCAAACAGATTTATTTTTAAAGCCCAAGAAAAACACTTACAATGCTATGACCTGGACGGATAAAGGTGTCAGAGGTTACAGCCTGAACACATCTTGAACGATTAAAAGAACCAACTTGGAGGGAACATGCACAATTTTGGTAGAACTGTGTGTGCTTTCAAAACGCCTTTTCCTTCCTCATTATGCATAGAGCCCTTCTGTCTGTTTGGTGACACGTGGTGAAGCACTTGGCCTGTGTTAAATGACCACAGTGATTAAGCTGCCACCGCTTTTCAGTCTAGAATCAAGTGGAAGAATGTGGATTTCCCTGCCCAAGTTTTTCCATGGCTCAATGTCACTGCATACAGTTATGTCTGAATGCAAGTGGACTAATTGAAAGTAACGTGCTCTGATTATAAGCATTGCTGTTTGGATACTCGAGACATTTCATAAAAAAATACTTACTGTGAGTCCAGAGATATATGTATGTATTTCAAAAAATCAGCACTCTCATAGCTCAGACCTTGAGCATTTGGGAGTGGGTGGGACTTTAGCTCCTGCCCCGCCTTGCCTGACGCTCACAGCCTAGGCTGAGGCGCCTCCTCAGCTGCCCTGGCCAGAGTCAAGACACCTTCAGCTGGCTGCACCATCCTCTCAGAACTTCGACCATCTCAACACAACAAGCGCAAGTCCACTGGCCTTTGCCTCGTGGACCTTAACTTCTGACTATTTAATCGAGAATGTTGTCCTTCTGTCATCCAGACCAGGAGACATGGCTCTACGCCAAGCCCGTGCTTGCTCTCTCACCCTCTACACACGGACCCACGGACACGCGGACATGCTCTCCTCAAGGCCACTCACTCTGATATCTTCATGTACGAGCACGTGCTTTTGAAAAAAGTTATTCATTTTTTCTTCTAACAGTGACTTGCCTTTTACTGAATTGTTTCAGCTGATTTTGACGGTACCTTATTCAATCCTTCATTAACTCATTCCGCATCTATGCTGTCGTGGGCTCTCTGCCAGGCAGTGGGTCCCTCAGGGGAATAAAGCCTGGTCTTCACGGGGCTGAGTAATTTCTCCCACACCTCCTTATCATTTTGAACTCTGAGTCTCATCCTAAAGGAACACAGCTAACCACAATGAAACTTCAGAAATTCCTTCCAACACTTCGCTGAAGAAGGCCACGCTGCCCCAGGAGGCGGACAGACGTGCAGGTGGTCACAGAGCCTGGCACACAGGTCCCACTGGAGGTGGCGACCTCCATGTGCCCCAGTCTCAGGGAGAGAAAGACGAAGACAGCTGCAACGCATCAATGTCAGAATCAGCTCGAGAATTTGTTAATGCTCATAAAAATGTGGAGCTACTTGCATGAAACACTTTTCCGCATTTTATAAACATTAAGAAAATGTCTGTCAATCACTAGAACCAAAGACCAGTCTCATAATGAATTGTTCCCTAAGGCGAGGGAGGTATGAGAGTGACAACTTGCTTATCTAAGACCTCATGTGACAAACATTTCCTACTTGGTAGTCTCATTTGTATATATACTTTGCATAGAACATTTCCTATCTGAAGTATCTGTGCCCATTTAAACTTCAGTGTGAATCCGAGAGGAAGTGATTTTGTTTCATGTTACAAAACACTTTCTACTTTATGCATTTAGAAGTGTGACCGGACCACTGTGTTTTGAAACAGATAACTGTATTCACAATTATACTGTTTGTATTTGCTTACAATTTAAGCATCTAAATACTTCCAGAGAAATTCCGCTTTTGCCAAAGAGCTCTAAGTGCATTTAGTTCTCATATAAAGCTGTTAGATGATCTATGTTATATATTATAATGTGAATAGACCCAAGACATTTAAACATGTGTGACAGAGTAGACAAATGCATACATGCAACAGCGAACGGATCGGCCTCTCTGACTCCATCTTGGTCAAGCCTGCTTCGTTCCCATGGCCTTCAGGCCAATGGCATCTGTTTAGTTTTGCATACAGACATGCTAATCATTAGAGGAATCCTGCTTGTCCCTTGAATTTAAAAAAAAAAACACTCCCTTACCAGAAGGTGCCTCTCCCAAGGAGATAAGGGGAGTATATACGGTTTATCAAAGATTTGCAGGAACCTCGAGGCTGGACTCACATCAACTAGAATCAACAGGGTCAACAATCTTCCTCAGGCCCTCACTGGCACCCGTATGTCTTTGGTAGTCAATCACGTCTTGCCCCTCCCATTTCCACTTCCCTTGACATAAAAGAAGCCTGAACTCTGTGCCTTCTTAAGATGGATTTGAGTCACCAAAAGGTCTCCCATTTTTCTTGGTTGGTACCTTCTCAACCAATATACTTTTTTTTTTTTACTCCAAACTCTGATGTTTTGAGTTTTGGCCTTTTAAAGCACTAGGCACACATATGTTAGACCCGTAGCATACACAGATACTCTAAAACAGTGTTTCTCAAAGTGTGGTCCATAGATGATCTGTAAACTGTTACTGGTCCATGATGAGGTAAATAGAGATACTATATGATTGAGAAACTTTTATAGCAAATTTAAGAGTAACTGTATGTCTGTAGATCTAATAAAGAATGAGGGTTCTGTTTTTACATCTTTGTACTTTTCATTTCATTTTTCTAACAATTATTTTCCTTGTGTTCTACTAAAGTATTAGTCTATGAAGGAGGAAGAAATCAAACAAAATGGTTCTTTATCACAGCAACTTTTAGAAACACTGTCCTAAAATGTAAACCAAATGCACAACTAAAAGCAAACCAGTAAGCTCACTGCCACTTTGAATTTTGCTGGCTTTCTTGAGGAAAGGTAGGTAAGGCACTATAGACTTGTCCTTTTCTTTTAGTCATTGATATAGAACTGTTTCTGATAAAGATTTGTTTCTGAAATAAATAACAGGATTTTCCCAATAACTCACATTTCTCTAGAAATAATCACTGAATCCTTGGAACTCAAATATTGACAAAGCATTCAGTCCTGTAGGCATTTAGCAGAATTCCCAGAGCTGAAGAGAGGCTTTCAGAGGGACTTCCATGTGAGAAGCACCTCATTTCCAATTAGAATGATCCAGCTGGTCATCGCTGCGGGATGACCCCAGTGATTTAGGAAAAGCTCATCAGAAACCTGTAATGCTGACTGGATGGGGAAGGAGGAGGGCCCGTGTAGGCAAACTCTGTGAGCAGGAATAGACAGAAAAAAATCGAATCTTGGATGCTTCTCAAATGAGTAAATAAGGACCCATGATAGAGTATGTCTCAAAGCAGGTTTGCCTTCATTTCTCTGTTTCTCTTTATGAGGCAAAACTGGCTCCACACACCCAGTAAGATTGCAAAAGGCACACAATCATGATGTGTAACCCTACTTCCACCTACATTTTTATAGAAAGGAATAAAATGCAACATCACAGAACCTTTCCACATTTTTACTTAAAAATCAATTCTACAAAGTTAAAGCTTATCCAAAGTTTGCTTAATCCTGTTCAGAATCAAGTCTTCCCGCTCGGCCTCCTAGAAGTGGGAGGACGTGAGAGGAACTCACTCTCAGTGGCGTATCACCGACCACCTCCTTGGAGCAGGACACCATTCAGACAAGAAAATACAAGCCTCTCAAGAACCCGAGGGGAGGGCGAGAAGCCAACAAACAGCATCTCAGGGCCTGAGCTCAGGTTGGCCCGAGCCAGAGCGCCAGCTCCTCTGAGCCTCTAGTCTCCAGCACTGCACTGCACGAAACAACAATAGCTCAGTGAGCGGGCTATCCGAGAGACACGTGACCTTTTGAAAGGCCTCGCCGGGCTGCGGCCAGAAGACAGGCAGTAGCTGGGGCTCATTAAGGGCTTCCAGGTGCCGCGAAGGGGGTTCCTGTCTGGAAGGCCCGGAGCTCACCCAGAAGAGGTGCTTGTGACCAGCCGGGTTTCTAGGCCACCCTGAGGCGTGACACCCCACTTTGTCTCCTCCCTCAGCTTCAAAGACCCAAAAGGGAATCTGGGCTTCAGGGCTTGTTAGAGACCCCCAAAGAGGAGGATGGAGGTGGGGGGGCCTCCCTGTCTGGCCCATGCAAAGGGCCCTGCGACGAACCACAGGCACTCTTCCTTAGAACCCTCGGTCAGTGGCTCTTCAGGAAAGGTTTGAGATAAGACGCCTTCCCTTCTCCAATACATTTGTTAGAACAAACTCCTGGCTTTCTAATCTTCTTACCATAATTGTTAGCAACTATTAACTACAGCAAAGTTTTGAAAATAAAGAACAAAACTCACAGGAAGCAATATAAATGAAAACTTCTCTTTCAGAGTTTTCCACGAAGTTTAATACGGAATAAAACTCTATATACACCGGGCCTGGCTTCCGGTTGTGCAGCTTTCATTCAGAAGGACCGGGCCGCCCTCAAAGCTACAGTCCCCTTGGGCACATGATCAAAAGCAATAAATGTCACTAGAAGAATCCTCGGAAGAAAAGAGGATGGAGAAACAGGCAATGGCATTACCTGATACTTGGGGGTTTGCATTTCAAGATTTTGAGTGACGTTCACAGTAAGGAACCTGAGAGGTTATTACGGACTGGAGTATCCGGAGAGACTGCTGGAGATAGGCCTGGAGATTTGTATTTGAGGTGGGATGGTCTCTTAATGTCTATTTCCCACCCCAACCAGTAACCCCCAGGAGGGCGCAGCCTGCCTGTTCTGTTCACCTCCTCAGGACAGGGCAGTCCCTGACCCACCAAAGATGCTCCCTAGACAGTTGCTGAATAAGTAAACGGTAAATGGAAAGAATGAGGAAAGACACTACGGGACGGCCAGAGAAGAACGGTCACGAAGTTGGAGACGTGTGTCTCTGGTCCTGAGTGTGAACTGGGCCCGGGAGGGAGGGCGTGAGGAGGAGAGGCGGGCCTGGCTGAGGGAGTCCTGGGACCAGGGCACAGAGGGAGGGCTCTGCTCAGCACGCTCTCCTGTGCCGGCCTCTCTCGAGTTCTGGAATGTGGGTGAGCATCAGACTCACCTGGGGCATGTTAACAGAGAATGTTGCCTTCCACCCCGAGATTCTCATTCAGCAGGTCTGGTGTGGGGCCCAGGAAACCTCACCTCAGGAACCACGACTTCCTCTCCCCCCAATTGGCCATTTCATGTTTAAGCCTGAGAATCTCTCTACTCAGTTAAACCCGAGTCTGAAGTCTTCCCTATTCGTGTCTAAGCAAGGAAGGAATAAAAGAACAAACAGCGTTTCCGTGATGGCAACCGATAGCTGACATTGGAAAGAAGACTATGCAGGATTAAGACGTCTTCAGCTCAATTTTATTGACAGAACGCAGCTCCTCCGATGGACACATCAGGTCCCCCTGGCCAGTGGGCCCAGATTCTTCTTACTGTGATCTCAGAGTGAATGATGGCAGCGAGGTCTGTGCCCAAGGGCCAAAAAGGAACGGAAACATTTAAATTAAATGTTTAAATTTAACACTAAATCATTAAAAGGGTAACATTTCACAGCTTTTGCATTTTTAAGGCATTAAGTATTATTAAATGTAAGTATTTAAAAAACCCACAAGTAAAAAAAAACAAAAACCCACAAGTGATCAAAAAAAGTTCTCTAATTCCATGTTTTTAAACTACATATTCAAGCTATGATTGAAAAAAAATTTTTTTTAACCCCTCTCTCCTTTAATGTTATCTGGACTGTCAAAATAAATGTCATGATTTTTAAATTAAGAATATTAAACCTGGCGGCTGGCATGAAAGTTCTCTAATTCCATGTTTTTAAACTACATATTCAAGCTATGATTGAAAAAAAATTTTTTTTAACCCCTCTCTCCTTTAATGTTATCTGGACTGTCAAAATAAATGTCATGATTTTTAAATTAAGAATATTAAACCTGGCCCGGCTGGCATGGCTCAGTGGTTGAGCATCGACTTACGAACCAGGAGGTCACGGTTCGATTCCCGGTCAGGGCACATGCCCAGGTCACAGGCTCAGTCCCCAGTAGGGGGCATGCAGGAGGCAGCCAATCAATGATTCTCTCATTCTATCTCCCCCTCTCCCTTCCTCTCTGAAATAAAAAATAAAATAAAACAAAAAGGATGTTAAATTTACTTATGCAAACTACCACTTCTGTCAGCCCCACTAACAACAACAAAACCCATTGCTCTAACTTGCAGGCTCACCATAACCCTCAGTGGCCACTAGTGCCCCCTAGAGGCCCAGAGCCTGGTAGCCACAGACTGACAGGCCCCTGCAGGTGCGGGCAGCATCACTGCTGGGCTCCTGAGAGGTCGGAGCGGGGAGCCCTCCTCAGCCCATCACCAAGGCTGCCTTTCTGGCTTTCTGACTCTGCTGGTCCAAAAGAGATGTAAACATTGCATTGTGCTTTAGTGTAACTCATCCCAAACAATAGTCATTACCCCAGGCGGAAGGAAAGCCATCCATCTCATGCTGCTCGATATCCAGGGAATTAATGCTTCAAAAGGTCTTTAGAGGGGGTCAAAATTGATAGCTTGGTCGCAGTTTCTGAAGGGAGCACATGATTGGGAAAGGTGGGACTGACCACATGGTCAAAAAGGCAGCAACAAGGTGAGGTACTTGGCCCTGTGCCTGTGGAGGGTGTGAAATTGGCCCCCAGCTCAATACCACCCAGAGGCAAGGATGGGTGATGGGGGATCCAAGAAGTCATTATTTTTAAACAACTCAAGGCTCAGCTGGTTCCTACCTTGTGCACATTTTCAAGAGCTTATTCCAACGTCCTTCTGGACTAGTAAATAACAACCAGAATCTAGTGTTTTCCCTTCTCAGAAGTGGAGCAGGCTTCGCGATTAAGTGACATGTTGTTTCAAAAGTCAGCGAACAAGCCGCGTGTCTGCAGTCGGGGACGGGCAGCCTAGCAGGGCACGTGGCTTCTGCAGCGCTGGTCACTCTACCTCCTTGCCCGCGTGGCGAAGACACTGGTGTTTGCCTGGGTATAAGTCACTGGCCTATACACTTAGGATCTGTACGCTATACTTAAAAAAAAAAAAAAAACACCACCTTTTAAACCCTAGTTAATAGCGCTCAAGAAAAAGGTACCTAATTCAAAGGGGAGCTTTAAGAAGCCACATCCCTAATCTCTTCAACTCCACTGTCCAGTGTGACCACAGTGTGACCACTGGTGGCTGAAGCGTCCAGAAGTGCCAATGCGGACACTGCTCATCACAGAGAGGCGGCAGCGATGCCAACAGTTCGGAACCACGGCCTGTCCTCCTGGACCTACCTCGTTTGAAGAGAGAGGCTAAGAAGAAGTGACGAGTGTCTCCGAAGAGGCCAGCAGAGGCTATTTCCTCACTCTGACATCCTGTGTCGCCAAAACCCCAAGTCCTTTAAGTGGAAACACATTCTTTCCGTTTCTTTTAGGGGTAGTGGCAGAAGAAATGAGCGCCCCTGGCAAAATTATTGTGTATGTGACAGACTTCCAAGACCAAAAGAGAGAGGCCGGCCAGAAATGGTTTTGCGACAACTTGTGCAACAGAATATTCTCATTTCTCCTCTCTCACCCCACACAGTCGCTTTAAGATGTGTTTTGGACCCTGCTTTAGAGGTGGTCCAAATATCCAGCCTCTGCTCCTAACAAAGACACCTACCCACCAGCCAGGGCCTCTGAGCCATGGTTCTGCCCGCAGGCTGCCACACAGCAACTCTCAGGCCGGAAGGAAAGCTGCTCCCACTTCAATGGGGGGAGACACGTTTGCCTGGACAACTTTCCACACTGTTAAAATATCCCACCTTAAAAACACACAGGACCCAGACATCCGATAATGTCCATTCATTTAGCACCCTCCCTCCCCCAGGTAACAACAAAACACGCCAGGAGAACAAGGCCACCCCAAAGGACATGGTAGGGTGGTGCCGACAGGATGGGAGAGGAAGCTGAGAGAAACAGGCAAGTCCTCCAAGGTTATGCTATCCAAGGCTGTGTAATGCTGTGTGTGGCAAGCACAGAAGTAGTGATAGTCCGTCCGTCCCCCCGCCCCCCCCCCCAAGCACCTGGGTGGCAATTTGTTGAGCCTCCAGGAAACAAGGGGGGAGGACCAGCACCCCCAAAGGCTGCCTTCAGACTCCAAAGTGACTGCCTCTGGCCCAGGGGAATGGCAGATAACAGGGGCAAAATTTCACTGGGGGGAAAGCCTCTCTTATTATTTACAGACAAGCGTAGGGGCTCCCAGAAGACAAGGGATGTCAGTAACACAACCCCTAAAGCTGCCCGGATGGGCTTTTTTTCAAACCAAAGCTCATCCAGGATGAGGTCCCTGCAGTCACAGCCATACTAATTGGTAAGTAAGACAAAGCCTCCCCTAACAAATCGGCAATGTCATTATGAAGCCAGTCGCTAGCCGAAGCCAGTTGGGCGCGCTGGGGTGCTCGTCTGCAGCTGTAACCCGACACCACTGTTTGCAGCGTGCCTGCCCCGCCTCTCCCCTGTGCAGGGGGCTCCGGCTGCGGGCACCGCACCCGAGGCTTAGTAATCGCCAGACAATAACTTTCGAAGGAGACCAAGGAAGACAGTTTCTGAACTTCAGGGGGAACAATCCGCTTTGCTTTCTTGACAGCATCTCAAAGCCTGGAGATACAGCGAAATTTAGCCAGGAAGTCAACCTCTAAGTGAACTTAAAACAACAACAACAACAAAGACTTGTACTATTTGGGGGAGTCTTCTAAAGGCCACATTTTAAGACACTCTAGCGTTCCCGCTCAGGATTTTTACACACCTGTATTAAGTTGAAGACAGTTTCTGACACTATTAGTTTGTTAAATATAATCTGTTCTCTTGAAAAAAGGAAAAAAACACACACACACACTTAAAGCTTGATAACTAACTGCATTTAGCAGGCAAAATAAGTCCAATTCTGGGAGATAATGTTTCAAGTAAATATTTCTTTGGAATAAATTATGGCCTGGTTAATCAGCATCTGGAAAGAAAAATGGGCTTCTTTATAGTGCAACTGTTAAGTAGTACAAAATGTTTCTAATATCCTGTCTGATTGGTTCTTCCAACAGCTGGGAATTTTGGGTTTTAAACCTAACTCATGAAGCAAGGGTCACCAGTCACTTTCTTTCAGAGACAGTGGAAATGCTAATAATTCTTTTATTTTACCTAAGGATTCTGGCTTAAAGCACTGCACATGTAAAGTAAAAGACTGGGCAAGATTATACAGAATTTAAGGTTAACAAAAACATACTCAATGATATGATGCTTGGAACCTGCTTTAAAATACTCTAGAAAAAAAAACCTGGTTGTGTAGCTGATACAACACTGACAAAATGTTGCTAACTGTGGACGCTGGGTGATGAGTACAAGGGAATGCATTGTACTCTTCCCTTTACTTTTGAGTATGTTTGCAATTTTCCATAATAAAAAGTTAAAAAAAATACAACACATCAATAGATTCTATAAATTTAAAAAAATCAAGTAAGCACAATCAATTATTTACACTCTCACTGAGAACTATTTTATTAACGTGATAGGTTATTTTACACAGAAGAAAACTATCAATGCTCTGTGTAGTAAACAAACATGCCCAGTAGGAGTCGGAACTCCTTCAAGCTCTGAAAGACAGAATTCCACATCCAGCCACAAGGGGGCGTAGCAGAGCAACAAGGCACTCCTGAAGTCTGATTACTCACAGCAATGTCTACCTACAGATCTCTCAGAGTATACACTTTTCCAAGATTGTTCCTCAATTCCGGTCTCTGCAGGACACTGCTAAGCAAGCCAAATTCTGGAAATACTGTCTGTAGAAAAGGTTGTTGCCTGTATATAAGAAACACTGATGTTTCAAAGACCATGGTTAAAATTCTGGGAGAATTTCTCAAGTGAGAACACACAAACAGTAACAAACACACAAACCCATGTGATAAGATGTGGATTCAGAGAAGCCAACAGTTCAGAATTTCCACTGGGGGTACTAAGGTAGAGTCCCAACCACACAATGAGTTTTAAGGTAAGAGCTAAGAATTTTACTAGTATAGAAAAGCCTTCAGTAATCCTATTGCTTCTTAATATCAGGAAATTACTTACATGCTAAACAGACACAGCAGTTATTTGGGAAAACTTCACAAAGGATATTGGAGAGAAGTCATTTAATTATAAAACGCAACACAGTTAACCTTAGAGAGATAATGGGGCAAGTTATATAAGTGCTTGCTGGAATTCTTTCCATTCAAATACAAACTTCAGTTCTATGATGTGTGTTCAGGAAGAATGTCCATAAGAGTTGAACTGTGATCTCCAATATTTCCATAGGAAACTTGGTAAATATTATTGTAATTTTTTATAAATAATATATTACAGTAAGCATTTAAATTATGGTGCTACTTCATAATAATTTGGTGTCAGAAACACATCTTTAGCTGAATCTAAAGCCTCATTAACATGAGAACTTAGATTTGAATTTCTTTCCCTTAAGATTATGTGCCTGTAAAGATTACCAAACCTCACCCCACCCCCATTCCTATGCATAATGAAAATATTTTTTTCTCCTGTATTTATAATTGCTTGGATGGGATTCTGGTTTCAGCCCTCCTGTAGCATCTTTTCCCCAAAGATACCTTGTTTTTCCCCTCACACGAGACCTTTAATAAACAATGTCATGGGAGGTTGGGGGGAGCTTAAGGTAGAAACCAAATGCTTTGCCAAAAGTATGTGATGGTTGTTGTTTTTTGTTTTTTTAAAAGAGGGCTATCTGATATATAAAAAAAGACATACTAAAACAGATAAATGTAATTTGTTAGAACAAGTCAGTGAAAAGTACGATTGCATATTAATTTAAACAAAAGATTTCCTTTGAGGTTTTGTTAAACTACTGGCCTTGAATAAAACAAATAAAAACTAAGTATGCTACATCAGGAAGTGTTTTGATGGAAGTGTTTCTTAACGGTTATGATTACTTTTTAATTTTCTTTGCTTTCAATGTTGGAATGCTTTATTACTGTGAAAAACTGCTTAAAAGAAGGCATGCTATAAAATATTCCTCACAAACACAAAACATATTTCATCTTTTAATTTCCACATGCCCAGTTTAAAGAAGAAAAGCAGAGAAATGTTATTTATTTACTTACTGAGTGAATCTAAACATTGTATTACATGATCTAAACCTGAATTCCTTAAAAGAAAACTATCAAATTTCTACAATATGACATATGAGTATAAAGATAGGCATGTAAAAGGAAGGAAGTAACTACTCTATTGTGTAAATATCTGTCCCATGTAAGCAACATGCATATTCTGTATGTATATTACTTATTTCTATGAACTAGGCAGGCTAGTGATAAGGTTTTACAAAAACAACTTACACGTGATAGCATATATGTGAATAATTCACAAAGTAGAAGAAGGAAATGATACAAACTAAACCCGAGGGCAGTGAGTGATAATTTGTACATGTGGCGGCCATTCATTTTTACTTACTTTGGGGGCTATTCTGAGATCAAATGTATTTCTTCTGTATTGTTAATTAATGACCCACAGAACTTTACACAAAGTCATCTAGTCAAATATAATCAAAATAATCAGAGTACTACACTGAATGTAATAAATATTTACTTTCTTAGGAAGCTACCTCTTACTACTTCAAGGATCTTCAATGACCTTTAGGGAGAGATCGCCTGCCTCCAACCTCCCCCGCTTGTCCCCTGGACATTCCTGAACATTCCGATTCCTCCCGCCTATCTTACTTAGGGATCTGCATTTTGAATTTGTAAGCCAATTACTGTTAGACAGCAAACAATCATCAGATGGTAAAAAATACTTTTAAAACATTAATCTGTTTTAAAAACTGTTCAGAGAAGACCACCACGAGGCTCATGGCAAGCAGAGAGGCAGTGCAAAAACTTCTTCAGCCGCAGACCACAGGGCTCAAACACCACGGCCAGCTCGGCTGTGACAGCAGGGAAGACACAGAAGTACACACATACACGGAGGCTCCCTCTCAAAAAAGGGAAAGAAATCTGAAAAGCAAATCTGTATCTAGTTATTGTTATAAAACGGGATAAGCACTCGGGGAGGATAGATCAGTCTGAAACAGTCGCCACCTCGTTATCTCCTTAGTGTGGATAGAATTTTATGCAAACCTGTCTGGAGGAGAGATGACCTTGGGACTTTCAGATTCCCTGAGTTTAACTTGGGCAACGCTTCTCAACACCAGGGTGGGGTACTCCAGCAGGCCTGCCGGAGCGTGGTGTGGGATGATAAGCAGCCAGCCAGGGGCTAAAGGCTCATCTGCAGAGTGACTTTTCAGTATTTAATTTTTTGATCGTGGCATATTCAAGTAGAACTTTTTACTTTTGTTCAACAGGTTTACACAGCCCACTATAAATTTGTGTGTGTGTGTGTGTGTGTGTGTGTGTGTGTGTGAAATGTCCTTAAGAGCCAGAATCCATTCTCCTCTGTGAAACTCCTGAAACACACACACACACAACCTATGAAAGTTTTTAAAGAAAAAAAAATCTTAGAATTAAACAGTAACTCTGCAAAGCTACAGGTTTTTTGCATAGAGGCGAAAAAGACAGTAATACAGACATGAAGTCATTTTAAGAATTTAGGTTTGCTGCTACCCGAAGTTACTAGAGAAACAAAGCTGCCTCTGGGCACCTAAAACTAGTCAGACCTGCTGTAGCAGTTGCACAGTCGGCTCCAGCTCTGTCCTCCGCTCTCCTCCCTCCAGCCCCCACCCCACGCATCCGCATAGCTCACTCCACTGAGGGCGGCGCCCAGCCAGGCACACTCACCCCTCGCTCCTCGGCTCCTCCGCGGTCCCTGCTCAGAGGCAGGGCCGGCTCTGGACACACAGTGTGCAAGCCTGAGAGGAGGCCAGCCGAGAGAGCAGCGGATGCCAACTCCATTTGGAACTGAGAGCTGCAGTGGGTGCAGAACACAGCTACGGGCTCCCCGATTGCTTAAAGAGATCGATCAAGTTGTGGTGCTTGCTTCAGTGACACCTGGCAGGTACTTTCAATTCAGTTCAGTTGAGGAACAGGAGATCTCGAGGGAGGAGACGAACCAGCCTTTCCAGCTTTAGGGGCCCTCAGACCACAACAGAGAGCAGAACTTCCAAAAGGGAGTTTGCACCGCATTGAAGATACGCATCTCTTTCGTCCTATTAGAAATCATACGTTGTCAAAGATATTGTGTTTGTATTTTTCGATTTTTATTTGTATTTCAAAGAAAATTTTTAGACAGCCAAGCATGTTTTGTTTGTCTCATGATCTTCAAGGAAAACACAAAACACAACAACAAAAAACAAGGCCTCTATTTATTACCCAGAACAGAAATGTTGTCTTATTGGCCTGACATATGCCATTCACAGATTCATACAAAGCATGAACTGCCACACAGTGCTCATGGAGAGAGACGCTGCTCTGCACAATGAGGGATGGGCGCTCCAGGGACAGTTCTGCTCACAGGGTTTCCCAGCATCTGTGCAGAGGGCAGGAGTTGGCCTTCAATGCCAATTGCACTGGCCACTGCAGACACTTTCTCTTAAAAAGACAGGCCAACTTTGGTTAGTCGCCGGCTCCTCCGAGAATATTAAAACTAAACTGAACAGCCACACACTTGCTGGCATCCCAGCTTTCAGGTTTCTGTCCATTGTTTAAGGAATGTTAACAGTGGGTAGAAAATACATGATTTGTGCATACGCAGTGGCCACTGCACTTTTGGAATTTCATATTCTGCTGGTCCAGATCAATGAATGGAAAGACCTAGGATGGTGACTGTTCCCCTTATCGCGAGGCCAGTTTTCCATAAAACTGGAGCTTGCCCTATGGTGCCTTTAGTATACAAGTGATCTTTGAGCTCAGTAATCAGAGAGAAAGTGTCTCTGTCTCTCTCTGTCTCTCTCTGTCTCTCTCCTTTGCCAAGAAACTAATACAACTATAGTTATTTCCTATAGGATATGCCATAACACTAAATATAAAATTTCTGTAGCAGCAAACTTTTAAAAAAATTCTACAAGTGAATTAAAGTTCACACTCTGAAATACCATATTTATCTATACATATTTTAATCTATATGTAAAATTGACAAAATCATCTTGATTTTTCTGATATAAATGAAATATAAGATATAGCTTTAGGCTCTTACCAGTGTTCCTCAACAAGAAACTACAGCAAAAAATAATTAAATAGATAAATAAGTACACAAACAAAAACCTTTAAAAGTTTTTATTGTAGCTTTTACCCATCTTAGCTATTATAAAATGTTTTGGCTGAGAGTAAACTTTTAGTATAACTTGATACTGATAATTTGTTATCTGCTCCTTTATTTACCCACAGGAAAAATATCTTTAAGTATGTGGATGTGTATCTCCAACTCCCCCTTCTATCTTTTGATCTGTTTTGTGTATGTGTACATGTTTCTAAAGTAGTGTTGTAACTTATTCTGCCACTGGATCACTATTTAAAACAGTGGATGCCAAAAACTATCAGCTGCTACACAAATTTGAGTGAGTTTTAAAATATCGTAATATATGCTATTTTACTATGCTCATTATTAATAATCAGTGCATAGTAACTGGGTAAATTTTAGCGCCTGAATTAAATAAAAATGCTTTCAAGAGAGGCAATTCAGTAAATAGGAGTCCAAAGATGTTTCTAAATGTGAGTTAATATCCTTCTCTTGGTCCTTAAAGGGAAACAAGCTTGAGCAGCTGTTACCTAAGGAGCAGCGGTGACACTTGCCTGACAATAAAACTGTTCCCTAGGACACCCCTTGTCCGCACTTGATGGGTATTACAAAATTCCAGTCCTCTCTCCTACCTGCTGTAATACAGCAAGGAACAGAGCTGAGTGTTTCAAACAAACACACAAAAAGGCTGTCAAATCCATTTCATAAGATTTCTCATCTGAGAGCAACATGGTTATACACACTGTAATTAGGAGGGGGGGGGGAGGGAGTAAAATTATTTTAAAGGGCGCCAAGCTTGATGACCAACATAAACAACTTTACACGAACATATAACACCTCTAAGTAAATCAATGAAGTGAAAGGAAAACTTGCTAACATTCCTCACGTTTTTTTTTTTTTTTTAATTTAACGAAGACATTGATAAAATGAACAGGGAAGCAGAGATTCTTGCTCGTACCAGAAGCTGGGATCTTAGGAGGGTATTTTCATCCTCACAGCACACCCTAGCACACTCAAATCAGAATAGACTGCTATAAAAAGGGGGAGGAATGGCAATGGGAGGAGCTCTTGGGGTGAGACGTGCCTTCTGGTTAGCTGAGCAACTCACCCCCCCACCCCCATCAGCAAAACAACCCGGAGGCTCTCAGGTGGACTGTCCTCCAGGGGTTGAGTGGAGCCAAGAGCCCACTTCACTCCTGTCAGAGACTAGTCCCTCATTATAAAAGGCTACTCTGAACACTCAAGGCCTCAGGGATCCTACTGGCTACTACAACTTCCAGGCTCTTTACACACGTTGTAGACATTTCTTAACATACATTGGGAAATCAGAAAGCAGATTTCATGAACAAAGCTTGGAAACATTTACGTACTGTCTTCCTGAAGGCCAACTGGGGCTGCTCGATTCGATTCAAACAAAAACTGCTCCAGTCTGAGTCTGATGGCTCACCCTGCCGACGGCCCTTCCCCATTCAGTGCCTGTAAAAACTTACTTTCCACCTCCCGAAACATCCGGAAACTACCCGATGTGAAAGCAAAAAGTTATTCTACGACAAAGTACCTATCTAATCTCTTCATGAAACAAGAGTAAACCCAGAACTCTACTCCCATCTCAGTCTATTACTATGAATTCTGCTAAAGGTGAGGTAACTAATGACCAAGGAGAAACGTAGGAACAGCTTAGGGTTTTCTCTCCATGCACTGTCCCTCTCCCAGCACCCTCTGTCTTGACGGTACAAAGTCCAGGGCTTGGGACAGCTGGCTCCCCTCCACCCCCTCCCTCTCAGTCACAGGCGGTCACCACCAAGATGACTTGTAGATTTCTAACTTCGAGTTGAATATGCATGTATATTCAAAATCAATTCACTGGCACACGGGCGAAAAGAGGGTAGAGAGGGCTGTTTTTAAGCTGAAAAACACAGGAAAACTCACAGAAACACGCCAGAGCAAGTTGGATGCAAACCCGGGCACGGAACTCAAAAGTGAAGCAGCCTTCGCGGCAGCAATCCGAGCCTTAAAAAAAAAAAAAAAGTCTCGCACGTTCACAACAACACAACCGCCACCAACACGCACACACATCCCGGCAGCAAAAGCGACAGCTCCCAGCTCCCTCGGCCTCACGGCTGGGCTCGGGGAGCTCCCGACACCCTCTTGACCCCGGTCCGTGACTCCCGTCCCCGGCCCTTCCCCCAGCAGATCTGCCCCCGTCG